CATCGGGTGCGGGGAAGGCCGGGACCGTTAGCAGGATGGGATCTGTTCTCTGTTGAAAGCCAGAAGAAGATGCCTTGTGTGACAGGCTTGGACTGCCCGGCGCTCGCCACGCTCCAGGGCCTTCGGTCCGGCAGTTCGAACCTTGGCCCAGAGTTTGTGGCGAGGGTCCTTCCCGGATTCTACAGCAGCATGGCGGAGCCGCTGGACCTCTATCGCTGCGTCGAGGCTGCTGCAGGCAACCGCTGTCCGGGTGGCATCCCTGCAACTTGCACGGGACTACTGAACAACAGGGCCTGCACCGATTGCCCCAGCAGGAGGCACTGGAACAGGTCTGAGGGACACTGCGAGGAGTGCACGCCCTGGCAGCAACTGGGCTGGATCCTCGCAGCCGCAGTGATGTTAGCTGGCCTGGTGATGGTCTACTACATGATGACTGCTCAAACAACGGCCAAGGCTTCGGTGAAAGACACAGCGACATGTGCATTCGGCATGACCATCTCGTCGCTACAATCCGTCGGCATCATTGGGACGATGACCGTTCAAGTTCCCGAAGGTTTGAAAGCCCTCTTTGCATTTCTTCAGGTCTTTCTGCTGGACTCTGATGATAACTTTGCTTTCAGCTGCGTCGCAAGTGGTTCGGCCCCTGCTCGTTACGTTGTGTCGGTTCTTGTCTTCCCGGGTGCCGTATGCTGGCTCTTGTGCTGCCACTACGCATCCAAGCTCCTCCCCAAGAGGCTGCGGTGGGAAGGCCCCAAGACGACGAACACGATAGGGGCCTTGCTTCAGCTTGCATTCAGCACGATGAGTACCATTTCCATGGCACCGATGATGTGCTTCAGGCCTTGGGGTGAACATTGCCTCGGTGTAGCAACCTAGAGATACTAAGAGAACAACTTCTGCCTCGAGCTTCAAGCTTGAATCCCTGCATCAGTCACCCGAGTGGCGTCTTCAGCCTCTTGAAGTACCCCAGCATCACTTGCGGCACGGAGGACCACGTCCCTTTTGCATGGTGGGACCCTAGGCCCTATAGGGGCCCTAGACCTTGGCGGGCTTTGGCCCTCAGCGTGCTACGCAGTTAGTCGGGTGAGCCTTCATTACGTGGTCTCTGGAGGCTCCGTAGCTCCTGAGGTGCCGCTTCGATTCAGTAGCTTCGGGTCGGCTTGTGCCTGGCGCCACATGGGTAGGTGTAGTTGGCTGTGAGCCTGTGGTCTGAACAAAGGTGCTGTGTCGTTGCTCAGTCTAACTGCTCAACATGCAAGATCAGCTAGCAGCCTAGCAGCTAGAATAGCACCCAGTGG